GCCCCGGGGATACAGCTCAGTGGTTCAGTGCTCCTGGGTTCAATCCCTGGTTCCACCAAAAAAAAGGGGGAGGGTCAAAGGAAACTGCCTCATTCAAGCAACTCAAGTTGTATACACATGCAAATACTTTTACAAAAAATATCATACACTTCTCTCAAGTTAGATTTTTCAGTTGCTTATAAAATTAACTAAGGGTGATACCATGTCAAAAGAAACAATATGTATGGAGGCCAGAGTGCAATGGGCAGATTGAGCCAGAGACAAAGTGAACATTTTAAAACATCATATTCTGCACCACAGCAACCTCCACGTACCACCTCTCGGTTGCTCAGGAAACAAACAAAAAATCATATAGTCCAATTTGGGTTAAAAACTATCCACAACCGGGGCTAGGATTGTGGCTCAGCAGTAGAGCGCTCGCCTAGCTCGGGCGGGACCCGGGTTCGATCCTCAGCACCACATAAAAATAAAGGCATTGTATTGTGTCCATCTACACATAAAAAAAAAAAAAAACAAAAAAACAAAAACCTATCCACAACCAAAAATGGAGTAAGTCCAAAACACTAACTCTAATGTATTTCTTGGCTCATTTCCAAGATATCTGGGTTTTCCCCAAAGCAGACCAATTCTAGGTCCAACTTCCCAGGAGATTCTAATATATAGGACAGTTCTTGAATCATTCTTGAGTAATTCAGAAGCAGACCATTGTGCAAACTCTGTACCCACCCAACTTGTGGATTGAAGGTCTGCGGACAGCGCTACAGCCTCACAGGTTGGTTAGGTTTAGCAGTCCCTGGTCAGGGTACACACAGGGTGAGGAGATGCAGACCACGCACTGTTCTCCTCGGGGCCCTAATTACCAGCACAATACAGATGTCCACACTACAGGCGCGCGCGCGCGCGCACACACACACACACACACACACACACACAGGCTGAGCAAAGGAAAGCATGGGGTAGACGAGAGTGGTTCTGCAACTTGTTTAGCCTCTCTATACCTTAGCTTTCAACTCTAAAATACCAATAATAATAGCAGCCATCTCATAAATTTGTTATGAGAATTAATTAATGTCTCTAATAGTGCCTGGCATTGAGAAAGCTCTAGTGTTTTTTAAAGATGTACGCAGGAATAAAGCAAAATAAATACTTATCCACAGTATATATGAACTCTACTTTAAAGATATAAGTATAATTTTTTTAAATAGTTTCCTTCAGTAAAGTTTAAATTTTTCTGCTGTGATATAAATTAAAATAATTTCTACTGAAAGTTCACTTAAATCAGCTCTATCAAGACTACAGTAATGATAAAAGTTAATCTAACTTTATGTAATACATTAACCTATTCCACTTAAAATATAGCTAATATGCCAGGGGAACAGCAGGGTTGTTCTAGTTATTCATTTAACCTTCTTTCCTATTAAAGGGAAAGGCCTCTGAATGCTACATAATTAGTGGTAGTTAATGGAAGACAGGAATGTAATGAAATCCAGAAAACTTAAAAAAAAAAAAAAAAAAAGGAAGTCTCAGTTTAAATACTTGAAAATTCAAATCAGTTATGTCTTAGTAATTTTAAGTACTCAACAATTTTTCTTCAAATTTATAATCCATAAAAACTATTTAAATAATGGCAGAAGGAAAAACTTATAAAATGTCGGTAAAAGCTCCTAATCTGGGTCAGAACTGTTTTCTTGACAGGCAGGCCAAGTACAGGACAGTCATTCCCAGTTTATAAGTCACCAGCCGGAACTGGCAGCCACAGAAGGGAAAAGTATGGGCCATTCTGTTTAAACTACATGTCCTCCTCAGAGCTATAAGGACAGCATGCACATCAGAGGTCACCACAGGCTTGGAGGAGGAGCACCGGGGCTATGGGGGGGGAGGTGGTGTCAACAAATGAATGCATTTGCAACACTGTAAAACTAAAAGGAGTAATTTCACTGTGCATAAAAATGGGGGGATGGGTGGGAAAGTATGGAAAAATTGCCTATTAAAAATTTTTAAAAAGGAAGTAGATCCTTAAGAAGAAGTCACATGAAAGATTTCCCTTCACAAGTTCAAATACGGGAACATGAGAGCATAATGCAGTACACTGGAAACATCCTTCCAGTGGGCTGGGGTGAGGCTCAGTGGCAGAGCCCTACTGAGCACATGCAAAGTCGAGGTTCCATCCCCAGCACTGCCAAAAAAAAAAAAATCCAAACCGTGACAAATGTGGCAAAATTCTTGATTGCAATAAACATTAGCTAATCTTAAGGCAAAAGAACTTGTTAACTGAATGCCTGCATAGTCATATTAAAAAGAGAATTATGAGAAAAACTAGGAAACAATTATTAACATTATTTTTAAGTACCACAAAAACCACTAAAATAAACACACTTGAACACTTGAAGTTAGTTGTCCATTTCAACTATGCTGTCTTGATGAGAGTACTGAAGCCCAAGAAAGATACAAGGCCTCCTTTTTCACCAGCGGGCTGCTCAAGAAGCAGGACCTTCGGCTCCCTCCAGAAAACCTCGTTGCATAATAGCAATCACAAGCTGCACTCCTCGGCCAGGCCGGGCAGGGCTCTGCCCTCAGCTTACCACCAGGAAGAATCCCAAGGTGGGGGCCCACCCTGAAGCCCCAGCCACCATCTGCACAAGCCCTAGCCACCGTCCACACAGCAAGCCTGCCAAGCACAGGGGCTTCAAACCTCTGTCCTCACTAGAAAACTACTCAGGAGCCCCGAAGGCCCCGCAGTACCCAAGCCTGTCTCCTCTCTGCAGAGGCCACTGGCCAGAATCTGCAAGGGGTGTCCTGGCTCTCCAGGGCCTGCAGGGGTTCCCTCATCCTGTTCCTCAGAGAAAGAGCTTCTGCAAGGGTGCATTACCCAGCAGCTGTCAAACCTTTTGGTTTTAGGAGACCTTTATACTCTAAAAAAAATCACCAAGGACTCCAGAGAGTTTCCGTTTATGTGGGCTACAATCTAACATTTACTATGTTTGAAATAAAAAAAGAAATTTTAAGAATATCATTAGTTCATTTAAACCCCATAACATATTAATACAAATACGTTTTCATTTAAAAAAAATATTTTCCAAAAAATCAAGAAGGGCTATACTGTTCCACATTTTGCAAAACGCTCTGATGCTGGGTTCATAACAGGCAGCAGACCTCGGGCTGGCTCCTACAGTCAGTCTAGCCATCACGGCTACCCAGAATCAGTCATTGAAAGCCCATGGCACACTCTAGAGGATGAAGAAAAAGGCAAATAACGTCCGAGAGTACTATGAAAATGGTCTTAACCTTGCAGATCCCCAGAAAGGGTCTCAGGGACCCTGTGGTCCTGCTCCCACCACCGCCCCTCTCATCCACCCTGGGGGCTGCTTCAACAGGTAATCAGGCTCCACCTGGACGTCAGTCTCACGTTCTCTCCTCCCCCCAAAGGCACATCTTCCCTAACTGCAAAACAACCCAAGAACATCTCCTCTCAGGTCCCAAAACTTCTTAAAAGTGTAGTTCCTACAGCCTCACTGCCCCTGCCGGTTAGGATTTTAATTACTAAAAAGTAATACACAGAGGCATTTATTTTTCTTTAAAAAACTCAAACAATATAAGCAACCATCCACCATCCCAATCTCCTCTCCAGAGGGAACTGTCACCTACTTTACCCAGAACCTACTTTTTAAACCAGATTGAACTTTCCATTTTCCTATAATTGGCCCTCTTCCCTCAACAGTTATTTTAAAAATTCTGCTTAGGCTCATTCCTTCTGGTGACCTAATTTACCAGTCAGGAAATAGGAGGAGTGAGCCATCCTGTGCAGAGGCAGCAACGCTACAGCCAGCTGGTTCTGTCCGAGGACGGGGCCTTGTACACATGGCCACACCACATCACCAAGTGTAGGCAAGTGCCAGAAACTCCCTGATCTTCACTGTGACAGAGCCTTCAGGTTTGGAAAACATCTGCTCACATAAGGCGACGATCTCAAGTCTTAAGTTCCACAACCCTAGGAAGTCACCAGGGATTGTCATTAATGCTTTACAGGTAAGAGAGACAAAGTTCTGAGAGAAAAAAAAAACAACACTTGCTCAAAATTGTACTCCTAGAAAGATGCACACCCAGAAACCACAGATAAAACCTCCATTCTGACTTCAGTCCAGTCCTACTCCTTGATGCCCCCTGAACAGTGCCTCAAAATCCTAGCAATATAAAAATACTGTAACCTATTTTTAGAACTAATTTGAAAAATTATCTCAAGTTATTTCAAAGTTGAACAGAAAATACAAAAATCATTTTTGCTTTTTATTGCATAATATAATCCCTTGGGAAGCTTGAATTTCACTAAAGTTAAAATTTATTAAAACCTACATCAGAATGCAGAAGCTTCAGAAACAAAATTTCCCAAATCTTTTATTCAGGCATCATCACGAACAAGAACCCGACGCCCCACTCCATGAGAGCAGAAAGAGAGTCACACAGTGCAGCCCTGGCACCTCAGGGACACACAGAAATGCCTCAAACTTCATAACCACAGTTCTGAACCAAGTTATTTAAATTATTAAAAAATAAGGCTACTTGTGTGAACAACACAACATTTGATTCCTTATTCTTCTTTCTAGAACACCATTTCTGAGTCCCTGTTTTTCTTTCCTACACTCAGGAAGCCTCACAGAGTCCAACACATCTAAGTGATGTTTTGATCACAACACACTAGGCTGGGTTATTAAATTGGACTTAATTTTTATTCAGAGATCTTGGTCTTAACTCAATCCCACAAATACTATTACAGAAACAATTTTAAATTATAATTAAGTCACTCTTTATAATATACCTTGACATTACAAGCATGTAAACAAGGTAACTAAATTTCTCTTCACTTTTCATCCTTCAGTATAAACAGTTTATAGCTGTTCCCAGTATATTCTTAAGAGAAACCAAGAACAGCAGTGATATGGTCAGCACTAAGTAAAAACAGGACAGCTAAGTTGCTTTACTCAAAATACTTGAGTGTCTCTTACCTCTGTTTCTGTACAACGTGAATTTCCCATTTTACCTGTAATAAAAATGAGAAAAGTTACTTTCAAAGGATTTTGGATTTTTTTAATCATTGACGAATATATGAGTTACTCTGACCATGACTTTATTATACCTATAAAAATATCTATGCAAATAAAAAGTGCTAGAGTGACCAATTTTCTAGATCTTGCTCAGATATTTAAGCCTAAATGGGCCCATGTGAAAATAATAAAGAAAAAGATAGAAGAATATGCTTAATCTAAAACACACATACTTAATATGCATTCATACCAATTAATCAAAAGAAAATAAAAATGCTTTTAAAGTCCTACTTTCTTTTTAAAATATCTTAAAATATTTTAAAGACATTTTAAATATACCTTAAGAAAACTTTAAAGATTCTTGGGCTTTCCCCCAATATATTTCCATTTTAAAGGTACAGCGATCATTTCAATGCAAGCAGAAATGTTTCAAATTCAGGTTTTCTTTAACATGTGGCTTTTCTTCTTTAATATGTGATTAGATGGCACATCATGAATTTAGTAATTCTTTCAATAGAAGACCACCTGAAGGATGACCAGAATTGAACAGGACCTGGCTGTACCAACATAGTGTCATTCGTCACCTCAGAGACATAAGCCAAGGAACATGTGTGGCCATACATTTCTGTCAATGTGGGTGGCAAAAATGCTTTTACAGACAAAGATGTTGTGTCTGCTGAAAACTAAAAAATAAATATCAAAAAATTCTCTCTCTTTAAAAAAAATAAAATAAAAAATAAAAGCAGCTGCTTTAAAGGAGAACTTTGCATTAAGTAGTGTCGACAAGAACAGACAACACCTCCATGTGCTCCATGTGGGCCCTGGGAATTCAGTGGCTCAGGCTTCCTCCTCCTGAGCTCACCTGTCATCAGGCGGGCAGGCGGCACTGCTCTCCATCCTCCCACGTGTCCCCCACTAACCCCACTCCTCACCCTCCCACTCACCCAGCCAGCTCCACAGTGATGGCCCCATCGGTCTTGGGGCTTTCCTTTCTTCAGGTTTAATGACTTCCTACACCTAAGAGTCTATGATGACACCACCAAAGGAAAATCATGAGCAATGGTTTCGTAGGCCACCCAGTTCTAGACGAAAACTGAAGGGGAGCCACGATTCCCACCACCTAATGACCCTAATGTAAAAACACCAGCTGCAGCTGAGGTCAGATAACAAGGGACCTTGAGTCCTGCCAATTAAAACATATATATAAGCAATGAGTAATTAAAGACTATGTGAATATATATAATGAGCTAAATAGATGAGGTTTTTATATAGGAGGGCTTGCTAAAGATGACTGTTTTTTTAATCTGTTATATAAAATTATTAGGATGTGATTCTGCATATCGTTACAGACTTTATTTATGTCTATATTCACATACAACTATCTGTTCAAACCATTAATGCTTTAGGTAGATTAGTTTTACAAAAGTGGTAATGAAAGTAGGAAAGTGCTGTTGATCAGAGGCAGCCCAAAAAAGGGGGCAGACTGGTTCTTTGCAAACATTTCCTAAGGCCTATTCTGCACCAGGGGAGGGGGCCACCCCACACTATAAGAGAGAACAGAGCAACCTCCAAGAGTATGCACGTGGATGTGTGGCTTCAGTAGGATAGATTCTTAAAGTAAAGAGAATTACAAAGAAATCTGTAATTTTTTTGGTAGTGGGTTTGCTGCTGGTGGTCTTGCTGGTAAAAACTGCGAGCACTGAGCAAATGAGTACACTGGTGGTGGGAGGACCATTCTGTGAGGGAAGGAAAACACAAGACTATGTGGGAAGGAGGGGAAGAGCTCCGTGGGTGACTAGAACTAGAGTCATTTCTCAATTCCACACCCACGCTTTCCAGGCACCCATTCTGCAAGGGCACACCTATGCCCATTCCCCTTCATCGGACCAGGACACCCCTTGGGAGCTGGCCGACTCTAGGCCAGGACAGGGAAATGGCCAAATGAGCCTAAAACATCTTGCACCTGAACATAACAAAGTGCTTAAAAAATGATAATGTCAAAAGGGCATTTGATTATATGTAATAGGATTCTTTCCAAAACCTGTTTACAAAACTAAAAATGCCTTCCTATAAGAGCACCAAGAATTCTTGTGGGAGAGTGTAACTGTTCCTGGTTATCCAGGGTGAGCCGGTGAATCCCCCCAGAGAATGTGACAACATCCCAAGTACGCAGGGCCTGACCGCCTACACCAGTCTGCCACCAAATCCTCGCCCAGATGCTGACCCAGGAGTCAGAAAACCCCAATCACATGACATCAGAGCTTAGGACCTTGGAAATGGTCTTGCTCAATCCACTCATTTCGTAAATGAGTAACCCAAGAGGCTGCAGAGTCAAATGACTGCCACGTGATGACACAGAGTGGGTGGCAGGCCAGGAGGACCGCCAGGCTCCCGATCGCCTGTGTGCTAGTGGGACTGTCTTACCTCTGTCTTCCATTCCCACTTCCTAGAGCTGGTGGGACCTGGAGGGGATCACAGGGATGCTGTGCTGGCGGGGAGAGAAGGGGAAATGGAGAAACCGCCACTCTCACACACCACTCAGGCTGGAAACCTCCAGTCTGGCACCAAGGGATTTTCACTTGACCACTTCTGCACCTTTCTTCAAGGACTGGGCACTGTTGTATAGAACCAGATATAAGGATCCTTCCAGAACCCAGAAATCATACGAGGTCACCTATGGCACTTCCAGTTGTATACAATGATGGAAGGCCTTCCCAAGTAGTGAGGTTATAAACACAGTGAAGCAGATCTTTCAATTAAATATGAAGTAGGCTGAGTTTAGAAGGACAGATTAACTGTGTGACAACATAAAATCAAATATCTGAAGTAAGGGTCTGGGGCTCAGTGGCAGAGCGCCCAACTAGCACATCAAGGCCCTGGGTTCAATCCTCAACACTACATAAAAATAAATAAACAGGGGCTGGGGATGTGGCTCAAGCGGTAGCGCGCTCGCCTGGCATGCGTGCGGCCCAGGTTCGATCCTCAGCACCACATACCAACAAAGATGTTGTGTCCGCCGAGAACTAAAAAATAAATATTAAAAATTCTCTCTCTCTCTCTCTCTCTCTCTCTCTCTCTCTCTCTCTCTCCTCTCTCACTCTCTTTAAAAAAAATTAAAAAATAAAAATAAATAAATAAACAAAGGTATTGTGTCCAACTACAATTAAAAAAGAAATGCTAAAACAAAATCTGAATTTAAATATTAAGTTTTCAAAATATTTCCAAATTGTCAAGAAGCACTCACACACTAAGCAGAGGGATGATTTGCACAGGAAGCCAGAAGTTTAGCTCAATGTTTCTCAACAGGAATGGGCAGGGCCGTGTTTTAAACTCTTCTTTTTAACTCATCTAAAAGACACATTCTGTTCTGAAGTTTTCCTGGATGAGCCCCTCATGATGCAGGAAACGGAACACCCTGCATCTCAATATAAAATGATAGGTAATGGTTTTAAGCAGCAGACAGAGGGCTGGGGTTGTGGCTTTGTGATAGAGCACTTGCCTAGCACATGTAAGGCACTGGGGTCAGTCCTCAGCACCACATAAAAATAAATAAATAAAATAAAAAGGTTATTGTGTCCATCTACAACTAGAAAGTATTTACCAAAAAAAAAGTGGTAGCAGCACACCAGTCCTGGTATAAGACATGCATCATAAGAACTCACCAGACAACACCACTCTAGCAGGCTTTTTTTCTTAATTTTTTTTAAGCTATAGATGGACACAATACCTTTATTTTGTTTATTGATTTTTATGTAGTCTGGGGATTGAAGGTAGTGCCTCACATGTTCCAGGCAAGCATTCTACCACTGAGCCACAACCACAGCCCCATCTAGCAGGCATCTTGAGTCTTCAGTGCTGACACTCAGGTGGCTACAGTCAGCAAATCTGCAGTCAGCAATTCTGCACACGTCACTTTCATGGAGGCGCAGCAGGCCACAGGGATGGCATTAAGATTACAGCTCAGCGCCCTATCCACTTCCCTCAGTGCAGCCAGATTCCCATGAACCACACAACTCTGACACAAACTTTTTCTGGCAGTGTCTCAGAAAAAGATCCCCAAGTTTTCATATGGCCAAACAGTACTTTGGAGTCAAGAGCTCTGGAGCAGAAGCCTCCCACCTAGCTGAGTGATCACACCTGGAGCAGAAGCCTCCTGCCTGGCTGAGCGATCACAATGCCACACACAAACCACTGAGTAAGCACAGGGCAAACTATACCCCCAGAGACACAGAATTCCTAAACTTTTAAACAAATAGATACTTCTCTGAATTATTCTCAAATCTCTTCCTTTGTGACCACACTGGACAATGTTTAGGTCCATCTGACCATTCGAACTCATGTGCTTTATCACGATGAACCTAGGAGGTACCTCCACTGACTGAACACATATTAGGTGCTCCTGACGATCATTAGCACTGATGACGTGGAGTGACCAAGCCGGACACGGGTCTCGTCCCATAGTGTCTACATTTAATAACACAGACCAAAAAAGAGAATGGGAAGGAAAACCAATCAAGCAAAATAATCACAACTGGTGATAACTGCTATTAAGGACACAAAAGGGAGAGAAAGAACAAGAGAAATGACTCCACTCAGGGTGGCCAGGTAAGACTCCTTGAGAAGATGCTGTTTAAACAAAGACCTCGAAGCTGAGCAGAACTGACTGCAGGCTACAGGAAAAAGCAGAAGACAGCAGTCTGTGGGGAGCACAGAGGGTCAGGAGGAGAGGAGAGGAGTGGACCACAGGCCCACATGGGCGGCCAGGGCATTAAGCCGCAACTTAAGCACAAGAGGATATTCCTGCAGGACCCAACACAGAGGGAGCCGCTCCAGTGTGTTCCAAAATGGCCCAAAGGCATCCAACTGGAGGGTCACCAGGGGAGAAGGCAGCAGGCTCAGAATCAGAGGGGAAGGGCAGACGGGAGCAGAGAGAAAGGGGACCAAGGGAACACGCAGGAGGCCTTCAGAAGCTGGAAAAGGAAGGATGCAGTCTCCC